CTGCTGCTGCTGCTGCTGTTGTAGCAGTAGCCGTAAAACTTTCTCTTGTTGGAGCTGTTCTTGTTCCTTGTAGTACTGGAGTTGCGGATAATCCCCTGTTACCCTTGACTGTAACGAGGCAAGCTGGTCTACTATTCCTTCTTCTGATATGGCCAAAGGGTCTGGACGATCAATGGCTTCCTGCTGCAGCTGCTGCTGCCTTCGATGGTTGGTCATGAGAGGCTTCATCAACGCTTGCAGTGTGTGCACGTTCAAAGGTTGGCAGCTCGCTGGCGACAGACACTCACGTATCGAGCTGGACTGCTCAACGTCGGGTTCGCTGACCCTTGAGGGATTACAGCAGACCTCGCGTCTCCTGTCTACCATCTCCGGGGAAAACTGCCGGTAGATGTTTATGGAAGCGGGTTCAGGACTGTTTTCTCTTCTTTTGCCGTAGCCTTGGCCGTTGTAGTGATGGTTAGTGATGGAGCGGCCCCCGTATGAATGATCAGTAATGATGCGAACATTCTTTCGGTGGGCATTGTTGCTAGGGACCCTGTTGTCTTGATCGGTATTTTCTGGGCTACCAATGCTGTTTACACTATTTCTAGAGTCGACATTGGTGTTGACAATCTTTCTTTGGTCAATATTGCTTTTCTTAGTACTTCTGTAGACATCGTTGCCCATTTTGTCGTTGTGGACATTGCACCCGAGGCCAATGCTGCGTAGCTTGTTGCTACTTTGTTCTTTGTTCTTTTCGGCTCCCTTGTCGCAGTTAAACTCTCCCCGTTCAGCTTCCCTTTGTGTCTGTGCGTCGTGGCTCAAAGCTGCCTGAGTCGGGAGAGTCATCTGTCCGAGGCGCTCCAACAACTGCTTGACGAAGTGCTGCTGCTGCAGCAACTGCTGCTCCTGGTACTTCTTTTGGCACAGTTGCTGCTGCTGGAGTAGGTCCTGGAACTGCTTCTGTTGTTGTTGGAGCAGAGAAAGTTGATGTTCAGATTGTTGTTGTCTTTGCTGCTGCTGTTGTTGTTTCGGAAGATCGTTGCACTGAATTGGAGACAACGACCATGGGGAATTCTGATGCTGACGGGTAGACATCAAAGGGTTGTAAAATTCTTCAGGAGACAGTGTGGCTCCGGAGTCTGTCCCTCTTGCAGGCCTGGCGCTCCAGTGAGAACGACGTTTCTTGACCCTCACTTTGGCGGGCGACTTTACACATCCACTGGCCCCCGTCTTTTGGGCAGCTTTAGCGAGTCTCACAGACGCGGACTTGTGACTAGACCCTCTCCCCTTCCTGTGCTTCGAGGTGCCCGACTGCTGCCGTGGGCTTTCCGGATGAATTGACTTGTGGATTTTATGATCAGCTCTTGGACACTTTTTCTTCCTACTTGGATCGGGTGAGGTCACCGCCCCCGCAGTATTATTCTCTGGCCTCCTGATGATATTGTTAAAACCTGAAATTAGGAGACAATTCTACTCTTTTACTGGTTGGAATATTTACATGTACCAATAAAACTGTAAAGGTCTTGCTCTAAATTCCTGAATGTAGTAAAAAGATGCATATAATGTGATAAGATATGCAGTATGGTCAGCTTTATTTTTCTCTTTATGTTGAATTTTAATTAGATTAATACGTAATATTCAATTTCTATATATACCTGCATGTGTTTTTACGTTCCTGTACAGCCAATAAAAATTACCCCATGGGACAATAAAGTATTATCTTATTACGTCACAAATGTCTAAAAAACAACAACACAAGTCAGACAATGTCACAAGTATAATATGTCTTTGAGGTTTACCCATACCAGTAAAAAAGAAAGTTGCATGCAGTATCTTAAGGGAAACACGTGGCTTGCGTCTTTACGTTGGAATTTTAAATATGTATTACATGTATCATCTTCGTATTATTGTATCCTCACTCCAGATCAGATACCCTGCAGATGGAGAGCCACTTTCGCTAGACACTTGTAGAATCAGGCGCTCTTCAATTTTTTGACATATTGAGCAATTTTTTGGTATTATCCCAAGTCTTATTTATTTGTCTCGCTCCTGATGAAAAATATCTACCACGGTATCTTAATGTTTGTAATTGAAGGAGGTTGGGGTCGCTGGTCTCGGAAGTAAAATTAGCGAGAAAATGGCCGCCTAAGTTTGGTGACTTCCAAAGATTGAATGTCCGTGGATACAACAAATTGCATTGTTGTGCCTTTTAGCAATGTTTTTTTCCCCCAGTAAAATTCACATAGAAATGTGTTTTTATACAGGCATGCAAGGTGTAGAGCCAACATAAAGAAAATTCGACAGAAATTGTCTAACCGACGGAAAATGTTGATTTCTTCGATTTCATTATTACTTTGACGAGCGTCTGTTTTCACCACGGTGCCATACATAATTTGTCTTTACACAGACTTCTTGAGTTGTTGTATCTATTCTGGGTTTTTTGTTTGTTGTTTTATTTGTTTGTGTCTTTAATCAGTTCATATTTCCCTTCATGCTCAATGAAGTATTTTGTAATTCTGTCATTGTAATAATAATATATAGCATTTGTATAGCGCAAATCGCCGCTCAACAGCAAGCGCTATGCGCGTCGCAATCTATACTTATGCCCCAGCAGACCAGAGAGCATTCTGAAACAACCTCAACTTCCTGGGTTGCATACTGTGCATGCAACCATTTATAGGCGCTAAAACACTAACATACTGACAAGACCTTTCGCTGTCTATGGCCGGGTACCCATTCCCACCTGGGTGAAGTGAGGAAAATTCGTGTAAAGTGCCTTTCCAAAGGACACAACGTCGGGCCCGCGGCTCGAACCCTCGAACCCCCGAACCCGCAACCTCACGATTACGAGTCCGGTAGCCTAACCACTAGGCCACCGACGCCACGAAGGTGAACACGACCCCTCCACCCCCACCCCCCCCTTCCTTTCGTAATCTCTTTCCCATGGCAACATTTGTGAAACTCTGCCAACAACACATGTTTTGGAAACAATCTCAGCCAAAAGATGTCCTCTAAAACTTGACATCTTCCAAGCCTTGAGAGTCCTTGGAAACTGAAACTTTACAATTTGTGTGCCTTTAATCAACATTTTCAGAAAAATACACACAGAAATGTCTTTTGATAATGAGACTAAAAAAAGAAAAAAAAAAAAAAAGAAAAAAAGAACAACAGCTGCCAAACTGGCAGAAAAAATACAATAACCTTTTATTTCATTATTTTGACCCGCGCCTGATTTCACAACGATGCCTCACATATTTCTGATGCCCTAGCAGACCAGAGAGCATTCTGAAACAACCTCAACTTCCTGGGTTGCATACTGTGCATGCAACCATTTATAGGCGCTAAAACACTAACATACTGACAAGACCTTTCGCTGTCTATGGCCGGGCACCCATTCCCACCTGGGTGAAGTGAGGAACATTCGTGTAAAGTGCCTTTCCAAAGGACACAACGTCGGGCCCGCGGCTCGAACCCCCGAACCCCCGAACCCGCAACCTCACGATTACGAGTCCGGTAGCCTAACCACTAGGCCACCGACGCCACGAAGGTGAACACGACCCCTCCACCCCCACCCCCCCCTTCCTTTCGTAATCTCTTTCCCATGGCAACATTTGTGAAACTCTGCCAACAACACATGTTTGGGAAACAATCTCAGCCAAAAGATGTCCTCTAAAGCTTGATATCTTCCAAGCGTCGGTGGCCTAGTGGTTAGGCTCTCGGACTCGCAACCGTAAGGTCGTGGGTTCGAATCCCGTCAGGGGCCCGATGTTGTGTCCTTGGGAAAGGCACTTTACACTTATTTTCCTCACTTCACCCAGGTGAGAATGGGTACCCGGCTATAGACAGCGAAAGATCTTGTCAGTTTGTTAGTGTTTGAGCGCTTAATCGGCTGCTTGCACTGTATGCTTCCCGGGAAGCTGAGAATGTTTCGGAGTGTTCTATAGTCTGCTGGGGTAATAATATAGTGTAAAGCGCATAGAGCCTGCTGTTGAGCGGGGATATGCGCTATACAAATGCTATCTATTGCTATCTATAAGCCTTGAGAGTCCTTGGAAACTGAAACTTTACAATTTGTGTGCCTTTAATCAACATTTTTCAGAAAAATACACACAGAAATGTCTTTTGATAATGAGACAAAAAAAAAAAAAAAAGAAAAAAAAGAAAAAAAAGAACAACAGCTGCCAAACTGGCAGAAAAAATACAATAACCTTTTATTTCATTATTTTGACCCGCGCCTGATTTCACAACGATGCCTCACATATTTCTGATGTCATCTTTGCACCAAAAAATGGAAATATAATCAATTATCCCTAACCATACCCACGTTCGATCTTATATAGAGATAAATACTAACCGTGTATATAATGCTTATTATGTATGTATGTATGTATGTATGTATGTATGTATGTATGTATGTATGTATGTATGTATGTATGTATGTATGTATGTATGTATGTATGTATGTATGTATGTATGTATGTATGTATGTATGTATGTATGTATGTATGTATGTATGTATGTATGTATGTATGTAGGTATGTATGTAGGTATGTAGGTATGTATGTAGGTATGTATGTAGGTAGGTAGGTAGGTAGGTAGGTAGGTAGGTAGGTAGCTAGGTAGGTAGGTAGGTAGGTAGCTAGGTATGTAGGTATGTATGTATGTATGTATGTATGTATGTATGTATGTATGTATGTATGTATGTATGTATGTATGTATGTATGTATGTATGTATGTATGTATGTATGTATCTATCTATCTATCTATCTATCTATCTATCTATCTATCTATCTATCTATCTATAATGTTTACCTGGATCTGAGCTGGTGACAGCAATGCAAGGTGAGCGGTTCAGATGTCCCGAGTCTGTAAATATTTGCGGGGCTTGACCAAGTCCAGTGTGCAGCTCGCAGTTGTGCAATTTTGCCTCCACCTCGTACCCACTAGCTGGAGGCGACTGCTTTCTGTAGTGTGAGCAGCTCCTAGCGTGCCTGATGGGTGCATGATGTTTACGAGTGGATTCTTGGTCCAAGAGGCATGACTGAACACCAGTGACGTCAGACAGGACACGTCTCTTCGGCAACAACAGTGGCGGAGTTTGCAACAGTAAGGTGGCCATGGACAAGACACTAAACTGAGGACTGACCAGAGTGTTGGCAGGAGTAATTGGGATGTGGGAAGGGGCGTGCTGCTGGCAGGCCAAGCCAGGGCGCGTCTCGGGGGTCACACGGGGTATGTCAACGTTATTTGTCAGGCTTTGTGGAAGTTTTCCCACACCTTCTCCCGCTTCTGACGCGCAACACTCTGCCTGTGGGACGTTGTGGTGCCTAATTTGTTCGCCCATCGCTGTGCAACCATCACCATCAAAAGCAGGGCTGTTCCCGCTCGTGGGTACTGGGGGACACTCAGACTTGGTGATGCGAACCTTTTGTTGACTTGTTGGGCTGACGTCATACTCCAGAGAGCGTTTCCAATCCTCGACCTTGCGAGGGGGAGATCTAGCGCCGTCTTCGAAAAAACCTTTTGCCCTATCACCCGTGGAGAGAGCTGGCCCTTCCTGAGCCTTCCATGTGGGAACTGGCATTTCTCCAGGCATCTGTGCCACACGGTTAATATTCTCCAGCTGACCGATTGCAGTTCTGGGGCGCACGCGCACGGTACTAGGAGAAAATGACCATTGTCTGTTCGAAGTGGATCTTGACCTGACTTTGGGGTAGATGCAGGAAGGCCGGTCACTACTGACAGTGGACTCCGAGCTAGGGAAACGGACGCCGCCCCAGCGGGAGGTCAGAAATCTGTGAGAGCGGTTGGAGCTGCTGCGGGAGGCATGCATGATGGTTGACCGCTTTGCTGTAAACCGTTGGGACGTGCACGTCTGGGCCTCGTTACTGAAAAAAAAGAACAATATTTTAAAATAAAGGTTTCTTTTCACCGCACTAAAGACACAGTTTAGATAATTTAGAAAGAAGGCTACCCCCCCTTCCCCCACCCTGCCTGTCAAGGCTAACCCGGGCTGAGAGGGGTGTAATTTCACAGCAGAAAGACCCAGATGCTCTATAGAAATTTCTTCGCTGTCAGGAATCGAACTCAGGTCTTCTGTGTGGGACACCGAAGCGTCACATCGATACACCACAGACGCCGATCTTGAACTTGCTCGAAAAATGAAAGTAGTTAGAGCATGACCTTTGGTTGAAAACGTCATTGACCACCCCGTATCCATTCCAGAAGACAGCTCACTTCACGTCCTCTATGATAGCTCCTTTGGCGTGCCTGTTCAGTCCAATCAACTGTCCTATTTACAGCCTATTGAGCACAGACCTCTGTCACTCACTCATACATTTTCCACCGATTGCTAAGTGGCCATATGCATTTGGACGAAGTGAAGAAAAAAATAGAGGATACAGTGTCCTGCCTGTTCCGACCAGGAAGGCCGCTGAGGAAGGGAACTTTAGATAGTAGATTACATACCTAACACGTTTCTATTGGACAAAGACTCCCATAATCGCTCAAAATCTGCGTTCCATCATAAGACAAACAGATTCAAATATCCACCTTCATGCACTAACACGAACATTGGAAGCCATAGGAAGAAAGGGGGAGGTGTGGAAAAAATAAAAACAAAAAGCACGTGTGTATGTGTGTGCGCACGCAGTGTGTGTGTGTGTGTGTGTGTGTGTGTGTGTGTGTGTGTGTGTGTGTGTGTGTGTGTGTGTGTGTGTGTGTGTGTGTGTGTGTGTTTGTGTGTGTTTTTGAACATAAACTGTCAAAGTTGATTAGCAGTTACAAAATGGGGGTGGGTGGTAGACAAATCAGTAGAACGGCTTGCAAGGCTGCTCTGATTACTACGACTCACGATGTCTAAAGTATTGTGCTTTGAGCAATCCTGATGTTTCGGAAACCTAGGTGGCTCCGGCGAGATCATTAGTTCCTTGTAGCGCCTTCCCTTCCTCCTACCTTTTGTGGGCTTTCAGTTGCAAACAGATTTTTGCTGGCCAGTCAGCCTATGGTCACTTCCGCTCCAGATATTATAGTTAGGAATAAAGAAGCGAAATCAAGGGAGACCTTATGTTTACATCTTCATCGCCAAGCTTTGTCCCGGATGTTATGTTTGTCGCGACGCGCAGGAAAATCTAGTTTATTGCAATATGCAGTGTGAATTTGGTGCGCAAGCTCTTTGAGATCTGAAAGACTTACTGACTTACTTATTTACCTCATTCACTTACTTGTTTTCTGACTGACTGACTGACTGACCGGACGGACAGACGGACTGGCTGACTGACTGACAGGGCGGACGGACGGACTGACTGACTGACTTACTTGGTTCGAGTATAGGTATCATTGCAGCGGTACAATGCCATAGCTGCCCCCCCTCCTCTCCAGGCTACTTGAAAGGGTCTGTTTGCTAAATGTGCTAATTATCAGATGGCTGGATAAATTCTTCTGGCTTTTCCAAGCAGGTTGCTTTCTCTCCCCGACCCTTTTGAGACACCAGCTTCCCTGCTCAGTCTTTCCATTGTGTCTGATGTGGAGCCTTCATCTTCTCTATGGTCGTTGGAAGACGCATATGAAAAGCAAGACATTTCTTCATGTATTTCCAAAGTAGTTTTTTTGGGTCCAAGCAGTAATATATCGTTTCAGGATCCCGTCTTTCCGTGTAATGTAAAAATGATATTCACTGGCGCCCCTTTTGCAAACCCAGGTGCTTTGGTGGACATCAATCACACTGTTGGAAAGGGGGGTTTGCTATGTATGTGTTTGTGTGGGATTGTATGTGTATATATGAGTGTGCGTGCGTACACGCAATATGTGTGTGCACGCTCGCGTGTGTGTGTATTTCATGTATGCATGTGTGCATGTATTTATGTGAAATTGTGTGTGTATGTGTGTGTGTGTGTATGTATGTGTGTGTGTG